AGGTTTTACCGTATTAATGTACGTATAGAAGCTGAAGGTTGCCTACCTGTAGATTTATTCTTTCCAGTGTTTATGACAATCTGAGTTGGGGTTTTCTTTTACTTGCCGTTGAAGGCATCCAGAAGTGCCAGGATAAACAGGATGAATGCCTTGCTTTGGGTCCTTTTGGCTACTTGGGTAAGTATATTATCCCTATGGTTTGAGCTATTTTGAGTTTTCTGTACTTGAAACCCAGGCGTCCTTGGTAATATAGTCTTAAACTATTCTGGTTTAAAAAAAAACAAGGAAGCTGGATCAGACAACAAGACTGGCAAAGGCAAGAATAAAAATTAGCTTCGTATGGGGAGCCTGGATGGCTCAGTCGGTTAAGCGTCGGACTTCGGCTCAGGTCATGATCTCACAGTTCATGGGTTTGAGCCCCGCATTGGGCTCTGTGCTGACAGCTCAGAGCCTGGAGCCTGTTTCGGATTCTGTGTCTCCCTCTCTATCTGCCCCTCCCCTGCACGCTCTGTCTCTGTCTCAAGAATAAACATTAAAAAAAATTTTTTTTTAATTAGCTTCGTTTAATTATGTATTGTTTTTTTATTTTTGAGACAGAGCACAGGCAGGGGAGGGGCCGAGAGAGAGGGAGACACAGAATCCGAAGCAGGCTCCAGGCTCTGATCTGTCAGCACAGAGCCCAACGTGGGGCTCAAACTCACGAACTGTGAGATCATGACCTAAGCCAAAGTTGGACGCTTAAATGACTGAGCTACCCAGGTGCCCCAAAATTAGCTTCTTTTATACTAAAATTATACGTATTCTACATTAGTATGTTAGTTAAGGGGTGGGAGTGAGTCTTTGTGAAGGGAGTGGGCTAAATGTGCTAAGAAAGGTACCTACATCGAGGAATACATTATGAGGAGGGGCTTAAAGATGCTACCCTGCTGGCTTTGAACATGGAAGGGGCCACCAGCCAGGGAATGCAGGTGGCCTCTAGAAACTGAAAATTCATACCATAAGACGTGTTCAAAAATGCAGATGGAGGGGCACCTACGTGGCTCAGTTGGTTGAGTGTCCGGCTTCGGCTTTGGTCATGATCTCATGGTTCGTGAGTTCCAGTCCCACATTTGGCTCTCTGTTGTCACCACGGAACCCACTTCAGATCTTCTGTCCCTGCCTCTCCCCCTGCTGCACCTCCCCTGCTTGTGCACTCTCTCTTTCAAAACCAAATAAACATTTAAAAAAACAAAAATTAAAATGCAGATGGAATAAAAATTTAATTGTCAAAAAGTCATAAAAGTACGAGAATAAAATATAGGATAATCTTTTTCATAATCTTGGGGGTGAGGAAGGCCTTCCTTAAGTAGGCTAATAGTAGGCCAAAGAACTATAAGAGACAATACAAATAGATTTGAATACCTAAAGATTTTTAAATTCTGTATAGCAAAATGCATCACAAACAAAATTGAAAGAGCAACAACAAATCAGGGGAAAATATTTCTAATGTATATGCCAAAAGGTGAATATGTGTAATACATAAAGACTTGTTCCTATAAATCAATATAAAAAAGCAGCCCAATTAAAAGTGGGCAAAACACAGAAAAAAGCAATTCAAAGGCCAAACGTCAACAAACACATAAAAGACCATTAATCTCACTATTGAGAGGACATATTTACTTATTAGAAATATTTTTAAAAGGCTAATAGTGCGTAATTTTTGAAGAAAATGGGGGAACAAGTAGGCATTTGTACACACTTCCAGGAGTCCTGTAAATTGGTTCATCCTTTTTTGGAGGATTATTTAGCAATAATTATCAAAATTTTAAACATGGACATTATATGGTCCCAAAGGATTCTTTCTAGGCGTTCATCTTATGGAGATATTTTGCACAAGTGTCAAACAGTAAATTCCAATGATGAAAAAGAAAACAAAAACTATCTCAATGTCAATTAATAGGGATTGGTTACATAAATTCAAGAAACCCTAGTATGAAGTATTATGCAATTGTTAAAAATGAGGAAACATATACGTGTGTGTGTGTGTGTGTGTGTGTGTGTGTGTGTATGTTTTGCATTATCATGGGAAAATACCCACATTATACCAAGTGAAAAAGTGAAAAAAGTTACTTCTAAAATCATATGTGTGGGTGTGCCTGGCTGGCTCAGTCAATAGTGCATGCGACTCTTGATCTCGGGGTTGTGGGTTCGAGCCCCACGTTGGGTGTAGAGATTACACAAACAACATAAAAATCTTTAAGAAAAATAATACCGTGTGTGTGTGTGTGTGTGTGTGTGTGTATGTGTTATACCAGACACATTGTGTGCTATCTTTATGTGGATATACCTTTGGAATGAAGATTTATAGAGAGCCATAGCTTTCATTTTTGTGTTCTATGAATTATTCACCATAAACAAGTATTTCCTCAATCATGAAAGGTGTCATACATTAAAAGAAATACATGGGAAGATTTTTTTTTTCCATTTTTTAATGTTTTTATTTTTGAGAGAGAGACAGAGCATAAGTGGGGGTGGGGGGCAGAGAGAGAGAAGGGGGAGACCACAGAATCCAAAGCAGGCTCCAGGCTCCGAGCTGTCAGCACAGAGCCCGAAGTGGAGCTCGAACCCATGAGCCATGAGATCATGACCTGAGCTGAAGTTGGACACTTAACCGACTGAGCCACCCAGGCGCCCCTAGAAATACATGGGAAGACTTTTAAACATGGTAATAGTTACCACGGATGACATTGGTCAGACGCAGTCCCAGCCGATGCTAGTCAGAATGCCAGTTGCTACAGAACTTCTGGGAAGCCATTGGCACACGTGTCTGGGATCGTTGAAACATGCTTTGACCCCATGACCTCCCTGCCAGGATTTCACTTGGAAACTGGTCAGGTGCTCAGCCAAAGACTTCAGTAGAAGGGATGTTTATAATAAGGTCAAAAACTGGAAACAACCAAAATGTCCGACAGGGGATTGGCTAATTCAGTGGCTGGATAAACATACACTATGCAAATCCCCCAAATGTCTGGTTGTTAAGGATTATTTGATGACATGGGTAAATCATGATATTTGAAGATAGGGGCCTGTGATATAAAGTTGAATACATTAGAAGTATGCTAAGTGGCATATTCAGTATACCCCAGATTTATTTTAAGCATTTTATAATATTATAAAGTTTTTAAAGTAGCAGAAATGTATCCAAACAGTTAACAGTTATCTCTGGGGAGCACTGAACTTTGGGTGACATCTGGATTTTCCAGATCTTCTAAACTTTCTGTAGGAAGCATGTATTGGTTTTTATAGGAATAAACATTATTTTAAGAAGGAAATGTTATACATGCAATGTGCTCAATCCCAATAGAAGGACACAGCCTCGCTTCTGAGCCTGACTATGTGGGCTTGAATCCATACTCCCTGAGCTCATGGCTGTGAGGCTCTGGCTACTTCATCTCCCTGTGCCTCAGTGTCCTCACCCACAAAATGGGACGATACAGCCCCGAACAGGTGGGACTGTTGGAAGAATGAGAACTCATAACATACCAAGGGCTTGGGACGGAACCTGGCACGCAGTTAAGTTACCGAAAACACTAGCCATTTGATATGTTTGACATAGGAAAAAATTACGGATGATCAGTGCTGGTAAAAATGTAGTGGAAATGAGTGGAAATGTGGTCCCCATGCCCAGCTTGCCAGGTAGACAAGGTCCAGCTCACTTGGGAAGCAATCTGACAAAACGTTCCAGGAATCAGGAAAATGATTGGAATCTTGCTCCTGTTATTCCCATCCTGGGACTGCGACGTAGAGAAATAATCTTGGAGATGCTCATTATAACATCATTCATTCCCATAACTGGGAAAAGTGGTGAACAACCTGTCAATCAGGGGCTTAGAACAAAGCCTACACAGGGGAATGGATTTGTAAATCATTTTACACCCACCAATGAAATATCGTTAGCCCCAATAATGATGGGTACGAGGTGTCTGTAGTTACAAAGGACAATGTTCATGATATAATAAGGACAAATCAGAGGAGCCAACACTGTTCCTACACTCTGATCACAATGAAATAACGTTTATTTTTAAATGACATTTGAGGGCGCCTGGCTGGCTCAGTCGGTCAGGTGTCCAGCTTTTGATCAGGTCATGATCTCGCGGTTCAACGGGGGTGTGAGCCCCGCGTCGGACTCTGTGTGCTGACAGCTCGGAGCCTGGAGCCTGCTTCGGATTCTGTGTCTCCTCTCTCTGCCCCTCCTCTGCTCACGCACGGGTACTCTCTCTCAAAAATAAACATCAAAGAAAAATAAAAATGGCTGTAAATATGTGAAAGCCAACTGTGGATTTTGCCATGAGATTTGTAGCTTAAAGTTTCAAAGGAAACTAAAATCATCTAGTGTTTACGTTCAGCTGGCTACGTAGCTTGTACTTGAAAGGGTTTATCTTTCCAGCTGTGTTTTTTTTTTCCTTGAATTTTCAGGCTCCGATTTCATGAACGATCAGTAAATTTGAAAAGTTCAAAGAGACCTTATTAAAGATATCAGATGAAGGGGCGCCTAGGTGGCTCAGTTGGTTAAGCGTCCAACTTCAGCTCAGGTCATGATCTCGTGAGTTCGAGCCCCACGTGGGGCTCTGTGCTGACAGCTCAGAGCCCGGAGCCTGCTTCGGATTCTGTGTCTCCCTCTCTCTCTGCCCCGTCCCTGCTCACGCTCTCTCTCTCTCGTTCTCTCTCAAAAAGGTATACATTTAAAAAAAGCTATCAGATGAAGTTACATTCCATTACACCACCCTTTGGGGACACTGTAAGGCTGAGAAACAGGAGAGAGGCTGCGATTTTGGGGGGGAGGGCGCCAAAAACGATCAGAAGCTGTCCCAGCTGGTGACACCCGTGTCATCTTTTTGTAGGAAACAGAGAAACCAACTCTCACAATACGTGGTGTTAGGGTCCCTCTCTGGGAGGGAGGAGGTTCCCGATGATGAAGGCCGAACCGAACCCAGCAGCGGGACCACCAGTCGGCTCCCTTCTCAGGCTCTCTGGCCAGCAGGCACTCTCTGACAATCGGCAAGCTGTGTGCCCCAAGCCAAGGCTTTCTCCAAACCATCGCAGACGTAGGCGTCGCGCACGGTGTGGAGTCTCCGGTGTTCAGTCAGGCGTGGACTCCAGCTGAAGTCCTCCCCGCGTGCCTTACGCACGTGGCGACTGCCACCCGTGTGAACCTTCTGGTGTTGAATCAGGTGTGAAATCTGGGTATAGGTTTTCCCACAGTTGTTACACTCATAGGGCTTCTCCCCGGTGTGAATCCTCTGGTGCTGAATGAGGTGGATGCTCTGGTTGAAGGCTTTGCCGCATTCCTTACAGGCGTAGGGTTTCTCGCCAGTGTGAATCCTCTGGTGCTGAGTGAGGGATGAGTGGTGACCGAACGTTTTCCCACACTCTTCACACTTATAGGGCTTCTCGCCCGTGTGGATTTTCTGATGCTCGATAAGGTGGGTGCTGCGGCTGAAGGCTTTCCCGCACTCCCCGCACTCGTACGGTTTCTCTCCGGTGTGAATCCTCTGGTGTTGGATGAGGTGGGAAATCTGGGTGTAGGCCTTCCCGCACGCCCGGCACTCGTACGGCTTCTCCCCGGTGTGAATCCTCTGGTGGCGTGTCAGCGACGAGTTCTGGCTGAAGGTTTTCCCACAGTCGTTACATTTGTAGGGCTTCTCCCCGGTGTGAATCGTCTGGTGCTGGGTGAAGGACGAGGTGTGACTGAAAGCCTTCCCGCACTCGTCACATACGTAGGGTTTTTCTCCCACGTGAATGCTCTGGTGCCTCATGAGGTGGGAAATCTGCGTGTACGCCTTCCCACACTCGTGACACTCATAGGGCTTCTCGCCGGTGTGAATTCTCTGATGCTGAGTCAGGGAGGAGCTGTGGCCGAAGGCTTTGCCACACGCGTGACACTCATAGGGCTTCTCGCCGGTGTGGACGCGCTGATGCTGGGACAGGGACGAGCTGTGGCTGAAGGTTTTCCCGCACTCGTTACATTTGTAGGGCTTCTCTCCGGTGTGGATGGTCTGGTGCTGGGTCAACGAGGACGCGTGACAGAAGGCCTTGCCACACTCACCGCATTTGTAGGGCTTCTCCCCCGTGTGGGTTTTCTGGTGGCGGGTGAGGTGGGACACCTGCGAGTAGAACTTGCCGCACTGGTTGCATTTGTAGGGTTTCTCCCCCGTGTGGCAGCGCTGGTGTTTGATGAGGGAGGAGCTCTGGGTGAAGGCCTTCCCGCACTGGTTGCATCTGTAGGGTCTCTCGCCCGTGTGGATCCTCTGGTGCTCGGTGAGCGAGGAGCTCTGGGTGAAGGTCTTGCCGCATTCGCCGCACGCGTACGGCTTCTCTCCCGTGTGAATGACGTGGTGCTGGATGAAATAGGAGCTGTTGCTGAAGGCCTTCCCGCAATCCTCACACTTGTAGGGTTTCTCTCCGGTGTGAATCCTCTGGTGCAGGATGTAGTCTGAGTGGTAAACGAAGGCCTTCCCGCATTCCGCGCAGCTGAATGGCTTCCTCTCTACCAACGTCCTTTGGCGTTTCAGGCTCTTTCTCGGCCCGTCCCTCTGCCGGGCTCTCTCCCCGCCCGGCCCTCTTTGCTTCCGGACGCGGGCGGAGGCCCGCCTGAGGCTTCGCCCAAGGTCGTGACCGCCGAGGCCTCTCTCCCCACAGACGGCTTCCTTGGGAGTAGCCGACAAGCACCTCAAATGCCTCTCCTGCCTTCCCCGGTCCTCCGACCGGAGGCCACACGCCCGGGATCCCCCCAGTCTGGCATCTCCCGGCGCTGCCCTTAAACCGCCCCCCGTCTTTCCCACTGGGGAAGCGGCCTCTGCAGAAATGCTCTTTTTTACAAGCGTCTCCTGAGTCGGTGCAGACCTCGTCTCCAAGTCTGAAAGAAACAGAAAATGTGAATATTGCCCACGTCGGGACACAGGAAGCTGATTACACGGCACCGGCGCTGGAGACTTTAGAAGACGAGTTTCAGGGACGCCTGGGTGGCTCGGGTGGTGAAACATCTGACTTTGCCTCAGGTCATGATCTCACGGTCCGTGAGTTCGAGCCCCGCGTCGGACTCTGTGCTGACAGCTCGGAGCCTGGAGCCTGTTTCGGATTCTGTGTCTCCCTCTCTCTCTATCCCTCCCCTGCTGGCACCCTGTCTCTCTCTCTCTCTCTCTCTCTCAATAACAAATAAACAGAAAACAATTAACAAAAATGAAAGACAAGTTTCACGGTTTATGTTGCTGTTTCAAAAGACATGACACAGATTCTTGTCGTGGCCTCGAGATATAAAAAGGACTGAGTTGTACAGGTGTATCTACGTGTACACGTGCGTATGCATGTGCATGGTGGACTGGAGGGTTTTCCATTTATCATATTTGCTTTTCAATTGTGATAAAACACATACAAAATAGAACATGACATCTCAGTCGTTTCTAGATGTACCGTCCGGTTGCATATATACATTCACGCTGCGGTGCGACCAGCCTCGCCATCCATCTCCAGAACTTTCTCATCTTCCCAAACTGAAACAGTATACCCATTAAACACTAACTCCTGTTCCCCCTTCCCCAGCCCCTGGCAAACACCATTCCACTCTGGCTCTACGAATCTGCCCACTCTAGGCACCTCATGTAAGTGGAATCATATGATGTGTATCCTTTTGTGTCTGGTTTATTCATGTTTTTATTATATACTTTTGTAATTAAAAAATACAGTCAAGCTTTTGGGGTAACATGTTAAAAGCAGGGGCACCTGGACGGTTCAGTCGGTTAAGCATCCGACTCTTGATTTCAGCTCACATCGCGATCCCAGGGTCATGGGATCGAGCCCTCCATGATGAACGTGGAGCCTGCTTAAGATCTCTCTCTCTCTCTCTCTCTCTCTCTCTCTCTCTCTCTCTCCCCTGCTTGCACTCTCTCAAAATAAAATAATATAATATAAAATATAAAATAAAATAAAACATGATAAAAGTAATTTTTTGAGAAGTAAGCATGATTATGGGGAGATTTCCATTTCCTGCTTTATTCCTTCCTTAGATTTTCAAAGTTGCTGAGATGAACACAAGTAACTTTAATTTGATCAAAAGATATCAATAAATATTCAATGTATGTGAGGCTTTTATAGCCCAACCTCGCAATTTGGAGAAAGGGGAGTGTAGAGGAGAGATGATAAGCAGGAAGTAAAGCCATATGGAATCTGCTGAAGGGGATTGATTTTTTGATGCTAGCAGATTTGTTCATGGGATACCTCTTTAATGCAGTTTTTTTAAATTTTTTCAAGTTTATTTATTTTGAGAGGAAAAGAGAGAGTATGTGTGCGTGAGTGGGGGAGGGGCACAGATAGAATCCCAAGCAGGCTCCGCACTGCCGGCACAGAGCTTGGTGTGGGGCTCAATCCCATGGACTTCAAGATCACGACCTGAGCTGAGATCGAGAGTCAGATGCTTTAACCAACTGACCCAGGTGCCCCCATGAGCTACCTATTAATTGTACAGTTGTTACTTACTTGCTAACCACAGTGCTGGGGGTACACGCCTCTGTGCTAAACGAGACATCTGACCCTTGTCCTCAGAGAGGGGGAGGGGCAGGCTTGCACTTGGACATTTTGGACATACCCTCCTCGTCTCCATAGCATCCCTGCCCTTGAAGAACCACTGTTACTTAAATAAAATAAATAAATAAAATTTAAAAATACATGAAATGAAATGAAATGAAATGAAATGAAATGAAATGAAATGAAATGAAATGAAATGAAAAAAAGAAAAATAAACTACTCTTAAAAAAAAAAAAAAAAAAAAAGAACCACTGTTCCCCTTTCCATGTAGTCTTGGTGGGGCTGTTAATCACAGTCTCCCCCACCCCCACTTAGAGTAGGCATGAGACCCAGGCTCGCCAATCTGAATACCTGAGTGCCCGCCCAGGAGTGCCTGGGTGGCTCAGTGAGCTAAGCATCCGATTCTTGGTTTCAGCTCCGGTCATGATCTCACGGTTCATGAGTTTGAGCCCCGCATTGGACTCTGCACTGCAGGTGCAAAGCCTGCTTGGGATTCTCTCTCTTTCTCTCTCTCTCTCAATCTCTCTGCCCCTCCCCCACTCACACTCACACATGCGCGTGTGCTCTCTCTCTCAAAATAAACAAACTTAAAAAATATATATTAAAAAAAAAAAAAAACGACGTTCAGACAGGGACAAACAAGTGCTTCAGCGGGGTCAGGACGTGGGGTACAGCCACGGTGGACCGGGATGAGACGTGAGGCCAGAGATACCACAGGCCGGGCCACACGGGGCCTCCAGTTTTGGGCCCGAGGGGCTACGACTTGCTCTCAGGGGTACTAGGGAGCTACGGGGTGGCTGTGCGCAGGGGAGTGGGATCAGCTCTGGGTGCAGGCAGACCCCTCTGGAGCTGTGTGGGATGCGCTGGAGGGCATAAGCCTGAGGGTGGAGGCCGGGGGGAGGCTGTGGTGAGGGGCAGGGGGGCAACCCCACCCACAACACGGTAGACGGCGACAGAAACAAAGACGCTTCAACCCTCATGGAGTCTGTGGGCCAGTGGCGGCAAAAACCCGGCTTCCTGTTGCCCAGCGCGTCAGGCCGGGTCCCACTTCTGGGTCTTTATACAGATGCTCCCCAATAAACAATCACCAATAATCATCGTAGCCTGTTCTGACCAGGGGTTACTGTGAGCCAGGAGCTGGGCTACACTTTACGTGTTAATCCGTTTATCCTTTCCAACCCTGGGTACTATTATTCACCCCACTGTGCAGGTGAGGAAACTGAGGCACAGGGGGGCTAAATGACTTGCCAGAAAGTCAATCACAGAGCCAGGAAGTAGTGTGGCTGGGATTCAAACCCTGCGCCCACGATCATGGCGTGTGCTGCCTCACTCCTGTCACTGATCACGACAGACAGGGGAGGAAGACGGCCTACACCTGCTGGACATCCTCACCCACCTGGACAGGCCATTTGCCAGCCTTCTCTCTTCTCCATACTGGGCTCCTCCCCTCGCTCCAGACGGGAGATCACGTCGGGTTTGAACCCTGGAGGCCCTGCCCCTAGAAAAGACACAAGATTTGGCCAGTTATAGGGAGGCCTCAGGGCTGGGTCCCAGGCCCTGGGTGTGCCGGGGAGATGCATACATTGGGTGCTTACTGATTAGAGGTTCTACTGGTCAATGCAAGACTCATTTGTTGAGCGCCTACTACATTCCAGAAAGAGCCTGAGCCCTGGCGTCACTGTTTAAGGCTCTGGCTCTGTGTTGTTCAAGTTCGATGTGAAATACGCACCACATTTTGAAGACTTATTATGGAGAAAGATGTAAAACATCTCATTAGTAATTCGTGTATTGGTGATGATTGTCACACATACCAAAATGTTCATATTTTGGACAGATTGGGTGCAGTGAACCATATCACTGAAATTAATCTCATCGGTTTCTTTTTACTTTTTCTATGCCGCGATGTTTAAGCTCACTGATTTCTCTCTTCCTATAGGGGGCTGAACAGTGTTCCCCCCAAACTTTGTCCACAGAAACCTCAGAATGTGACCTTACTTGGCAAATCAGGGCTTTGAGGATGTAATTCGTTCAGACGAGGTCCTGCGGGAGTAGGTCGGGCCTTAGGGGATGATGCACAGACACTCTCGGGCAGGGGAAAGGTCATGTGAAGATAGAGGCCGAGATCGGGGTGATGGGGATACAAGGCGAGGAACAGCAAGGGTCACCCGGGACCTCCGGAAGCTGCATCCAGGAAGGACTCCGCCCTGGAGCCTTCAGAAGGAGCAGGACCCTGCCTCCGCCTGGATTTTGCACGTCTGGCTTCTGAACCGTAAGGGAACGAATTTCTTCCCGTATTAAGCCACCAGGTTTGCGGTGATCCGTTACACAGCTGTGGGAAACGAACGCATCTCCCTACTGACCGTTCCCAGGAGTAGACAAGCTCCCGCCTGAGAAGGCGAACCTTCCTCCCACTGGAGAAGTGAGGAAGGGAGAGAACGGATGGAGATGAGATCGAGGAGGCCGGCAGGGGCCAGGCCACATGAGGGTCTGAAGCCGCTGAAGGCAGGGCCCAGGACTGGTGGGCGACTGTCCCTGAGATGGGAGGGTGGGCAGACGAGGAGGGGGTCTGTGGGGACGTCGTGAGCTCAGGGGAGGCCACTAGCTGCATCAAGTTGGAGCTCAGGGGACAGACCAATGGGACGTCGTTCTGTACACACGAGTTGTGCAGAAAAGGTTCACACGGCAGGCTGCCTGCTCTTTCTGGAAAGCCCTGCTCACAAGGCTACCCTTGGCTGGCGTTTGGGAAGCTGGATTTCAAGAGGGTTCCCAGTAGTTCCTGATCGACAGGAGAGGCTCCCGGCGCCTCAGCCGTTTGTGCAAACACTGTGGCTTCTGCCCGACACCTGCTTTTCCTTCGGGGAGTCGGGAGCTTGGTCCGTGCCAGGCGGAGGCTGCTGACATGACCAGACCTCAGCGAAACCCTGGGCGCTGACCGGGTCTCTAACGAGTGTCCCCGGTGGACGACACCTCACACGTGTTGACACATCTTGTTGTAGGTCCTGTGTGACTCAACGGGGAGGGGACTCTGCCCTGGTTGCTGCTAGACTTCGCCCCACGTGCCTTATCCCTTTGCCGCCCGTGCTCTGTGTCCTCTTGCTGCAAGGAATCTTGGCTGTGAGCACAGCTACATGTGAGGCCTGTGGGTCCTCCGAGAGAACCACCCGAACTTGGGGGCTCTCCTGGGGCCCCGACACAGGTGCTTAAGCGAGTTCTTGGTGACTTTGTCCAGGGAACGTGTGTAAGTGAGGACGGCTGAGGAAGCGGCCTTCAAACCACCATTGCTTCCAGGGAAAAGGCAAGACAGAAGGACCAGAAAAAGAAACTGAGGGGAGAAGGAGGCGGACAGAAAGACCACTGAGGAGGCCAGAGAAGGGCCAGGGGGTGAGGATAAGGCCAGGTCAGGGCTGGACTGCAGGGATGGAGGGGGGGCGATGAGCAGATTGTTGGGGGGCAGAGAGGACGTGGTGGGCTGCTGGGGAGGGGGGTGGGCGGAGTGAGGACGGTCTGGGCTGGGGGATGGGGTGCCCGGAGGATTGGAGCAGGTCTGTGTGCAGACGCTGAGCTCAGGGTAACAAATGTGAGAGGGACTCGGGCACAGGAGGCGGGTGGGCCGACAGTGTAGGGCCAGGAAGACACATTTGGGGGACAGCATTTACGTGCTTTGGAAAGATTCTAAGATGCAGCCCGATGAACATCCAAGGAGCACTTGGAGTCCGAGATTCTGGAACAGGCATTCCAGGAAAGCGTGAGAAGAAGGTGGGGGCACAGGCTGAAGATTATGCAGGACA